CAAGAATGCAGTAAGTAAAAAGAGAAGAAGTAAAAGAATGCAGTAAGTAAAAAAAGAAGTAAAAGAATGCAGTAAGTAAAAAAATGTAAAAGAATGCAGTAAGTAAAAAAAGGTAAAAGAATGCAGTAAGTAAAAAAAGAAGTAAAAGAATGCAGTAAGTAAAAAAATGTAAAAGAATGCAGTAAGTAAAAAAAGGTAAAAGAATGCAGTAAGTAAAAAAAGAAGTAAAAGAATGCACGCCAACATCTATCCTGTGTTCATTTGGTGCATGGAGTACATGCTGGCTACTGCTCTCATCTACGTTCACACCAAACCTTAGCCCAATATTTATAAAACAGACCAAGTTATTGTCGTTTTTTGGATCTTCTGAGTTTGTCTCACTTGATTTCGTCACATGCAGAATCAAATTTCAACAACAATTTCCTTCACTTTGACAAACCTAAATTTACTATATTTGAATTATTTTTTTTTGCTACTTTAGTATATAATTTGTGGAAAGTACTCTTTGTTTACACAATGTAAGTGAAGTACTACTGTTTTACTTCAAAAAAGAACTAACTTTCACTATTTTTAAGTTAAAGGTCTGAAAACCTCTTTTCTGCATCGCAGCAACAAAACCATTGCAGAATCAATTCTCTAGATGTGCCCCCCCGCCACCCGATTCTTTTCTTTTGTTTATGTCTTATTCTTTCATGTGTGTGATTGAAAACTGCCTCAAATTCCATGTTTTTCTCGCGCGTCTATTTTCCGCAGCTCCACCGGTGACACGCTCGCTGCCTTGTCTGACACCCTCATTTCTTTTGACACAGACTCATCCAGGTATTTCAAATATATATACAGAAATAAATCTATAAAGCTGCGCAAAAACAATATGAGAGAAATAATCTCTTGTCAGTAGCACATTATTGCCCACAGCTTCCGCAATAAAGCAGCTTGATCACAGAAGTTTGTTTTCCTCTCCAGCTTTAAGGATGACAAGACAGCAGTGGCGAAGGAGAAAGGAGGAAACTCAGAGGACAGGTAGAAAAAAATCAATATCTCCCTTGGTCGTGTCACAGCAGAGCTGGTTTGAAAATAAACCTGGTCTGATTACGGTGTTCACTTTAGAGGAATTACGAAGTAACACAAATCTCGGTCTCAGGTGCCTTAAACAACCTGTGTCCCAAATTACGCTTGATTAAATACGGTTTAAAAATATTTGCTAAAGAGATATATGCACTTTCCATGCCAAAGCAGGTGCAGTAACAAGCTGAATACTTTTTTTTTCTTCCCATCTTCTCTTTGTCTCTCTGCAGCGTTGAACAGAAGCCAGCTCCAGATCCAACGCTCAGCAATAGTGAACCAATAACAGACAATCTCCTGGGCTTCGGCGATAGGTTTGTTAAAAATATGCTCTTACTGATTGNCCCCCACACACACACACACACACACACATACACAAACACACACCACATTTGGGATTCTTTTGAATCTTCTCCATGCGGTGGCACTGTTGGACCTCTTGTAAACAAATAAAATAAAATCCTTCCTCAGCTGGCCTGGTTTAAGCTTTGAAATTGTTTCCTTTTTTAAAGGGAAAAAAACCCTCTTTGTTCTTTAACTTCTCAACCCTTTTTCTCCTTCCTCACTCTGCAGCCCGAAAGAATCAGCAGAGCCTGTTCCTCCCAGCCCGGGACGCTGGAGTCAGGATCTGCTCCGTGAATTAAGCAGGTACACAAGAGTTAGTTAGAGAATTCCTCAGCAGGAAAACCAATAGTTTCTTTGTCAGTCAGAAGCCAGAATATTACCTTAACTCACCTTTTTGCTTTGGATTTTTTCTGTTTTTTGTGATTTATCTCTGTAGTGAATCATTATCCCTTTTTAACACAATGTCTGCCATCTATACTATAAACATATAGTACAATAAATGGCATTTGGTACACCAGTTCTAATAAAATCCAATATTGTTATCAAATGCCACAAACAAATTATTCTGGAGAGAAACAGCCAAAAAACATCAGCATCAACGAGACAAAAAGGACGTTTTCAGTACTAAACACCATTAATAACTATCATCAATGGTAGGAACTATATAGTAAAATAAAAAAGGTCAGCTATCCTCTTGAAAATTGTATCACAGAGAAAAAACAAACCATACTTGAATTAAATCAACAGTCTTTTTATCTGGAACAGGAGAAAAAAATGATAAAAAATTGATGCTCACAGCACAATAAAACACGATACAGAAATACAGAAGAGCAAAACGCATGAAATTTTTATTTCAAGTCTTTTCCTTTAAAACCAAATTAATCAAACGAGCATGAATCAAACATAATGTAAAACCACCAGCAGATGCGACAAACATCAATTTAAAATTCAAATAAGCTATTTTTTTGTTTACACAAAAAGGGCTAAAACTCTGTGATAGTAGCTGAGAGTCATCCTTTACAACTGCTAACAGAACACAGCAGATTATTATTAGAAAACTAAATCCCATAATGTTGAGCCATATGTTGGAATTCTGGGTAGTAGCTTTATTGACACCCTTCAAAATACCTTCAGATATTTTCCACTTTCTCCCATTACTAAAAGCAGTTGAGCCACCTTGAGTTATTAGATTTTCTTTTTCCCCTCACAAACGCAAAGTTTGATCCAAATGACTGCTGTCAGAATCCAGAGCTGCACGTCAGCAACAAGGTCTCTGATTCCTGAATGAAACAACTGAGTCTGTGTAACTAAAAGCCACGTTTCATCTGCACTTGGACTGGAACTGAAAAAGACTGCACTGATTTGGGCTTTGTTTTGTCACCACCAGCTCCAGCGAGCCGACGGAGGAGGAGGAAGAGACGGATGAGACAGCTCAGGAAACACAAAGGTAGAGAGAGTTGACAGGCTGCTCTTAAACAATTATCTCTCAGTGCAGAGCTGTTCCCTCTTATGAAACTGGTTTTTACTCAGATATGCCTCGTAATGATTTATACGGGCTCCGGCTGCAGCTTCTGGCCCCTCAGAGGCAGACAGCCGCCTGTAACGACCAAAGCTGAGATTATTCCTGACAAAAAGTGCTCAACRCGCAGACAGAAAGGAAATAACCATATTTAGATGGTCTCAGTTGTTAAATAGTTGAGTGGATATGAGTGGACTGGCTCTGTAAATAGTATATGAGGACAACAATAAACTTTACATGCCCTCCTTTCGTTGTCTTCTCTCCATCTAGCAACGAGGACAATGCAGATGGAGCTCACATGTGACAACCACAGTCACTGAATCGAGCTACTTTGACTTCCTTCCATATTTGGTGAAGATTAAATTAGATTTTTCTTTTCACTTTGCTTAAAAGCATCGTATAAGTAACAATCCATTTAGTGTGTCAGCATTTATTTAATGTAAGGCATAGTTTTCTGCTAAACAGCAGAAAAAAACATGTTAATTTGGCAGAAGACCCCCAGATTCTGATCACGATTGAGTTTCGACCCCCCCCCCCGCTTCGTTTCTGTTTATCATTCAAACTGCATTAAATCTTTCCATTATGAGTCAATGCGATCAGAATTCCTCCGACACGAGATGGGCCGCGCTGACAATTGAGAGTGAAATCAGTGTGAAATTGTTTTTCAGCTCGGCTGATCCGTTTGATCCGTATCCGATAGGGACCGCATCCCATAACAGGTAATCATATTGGTTTGGAGCTTGTGACTGTTTTCCAGTCGGCCCAGATAGACGGCGTCGCGACATGCATTATGCAGCGCTTTTCTGATTAGGGCCCCCACTTTTCTCCATTGCAGGCCCTCTGACCTGCTTCAGCCCCGCTCAGATATTTCCATCAAGAGTTACGAGAATGAGAACACAACAACAACAACCCACACTCCCCCCACACCCCGCTCTCAGTCCAGTTCTATACTGTAACCTCTGCTTGCTGCACTGATGCTATCGTGTTGTTACATAATGGTCCTCAYTGCTCCACCTGCTGTTCGTTGCACATTAACCATTAGTCACAGTCGACAGTTATTGCTCAAGAAATGCTGCCAATTTATACATTCACGTACCAAATTAAATAGTTTTGTCTTTGATATCATTTTTTATATTTAGAAACCAAGCTGTCCAATTAAAATAGTTAATATACACTTCTTGTAAGCAGGCTGAGAAAACCCCAGAACATACTATCTTCATAAACCGAGTAACCAGTGATAATTCTACAGACTAAATCAACTAGACTCTGCAAAAAAGTGATACTTTTTTTCCCGTCCCCCATTTGTGACGCCCTCTAGAGGGTCGGCACCTATTGCTTTTGCCTACACTGCCTATGCCACGGGCCAGCCCTGTTTACAAAACCTGCTGTGGGCCATCGTGGAAATTACATTATAATGTTTTTTCTTTCTTTTCTTTCATTTATTTTATATCTCTGACAGTATAAGCAGTAGAACCCCGAAATTCCTTGCAGACAACCTCAACCCCATCAGTACTGACACCATAAGGCAATGAACTGTATAAAACATCTGCAAGTGAGAGATGGAAGAGAAAAGAAAAGATAAAGGAACTGATCTGATTTGACCTATGCATCGCCCCTGACCTCTGTTTTTTTTATGTAGATCCAGCACTCGGCGGCACTGGACGTATACATGGGAGATATCCCAGCAGACCACCATAGAAGAGAGGTGAGGACACCACTTTGATTTCCCGCTTATGCTGCGTCCTCCTGCATGTGTCCATTACCAGCTAAAATCCTTCTATGTTTGCCCACCCCAGCCAAGAAGACACTGCTGCAGAAGAAACACAAGAGCCAGATGAAGATCAGCAGACGGTTATCATGTTTGAAAGAAAGTAAGTCATCTCTTTATTAAAAAGCTCCAGGTGGCTCCTTTTATCCCCGTAACCTTCTTTCCTTTCACGGCGGTGCGGTAACCAGGCTCTTACAGCATCTGCTCGCCGAGCTGGAAGATATTGTGCACTGGTGCTGATGAAAGTAGGTCAGATATTTGTTGCAGCTTGCCCCTCGCAAATGCGGTAAAGAGACTGCCCTCTTGTAACCCCTGACTGCCTTCCTTTGAGAATGCTCAGAGTGGGATTTTTGCTTCGTTTTGTCTTTCAGATCCACTGAAAATGACTCCCCGTGGGACAGATGGACAACACCCACCATCTATACAATCGGTACGCCAGGAGAGGAGGAGGAAGAGGARGAGGAGGAAGAGGAGGAGGAAAGGTAAAGTTACTAAACTGAGCTAATTCCATTTGAGCACTTAACTCAATATCTGTAAAACTGATTGAGTTAAAATAATTTTTGTGTYGGATAAGAGTAATTACTTGTGGCAGCCATTTTGAATTATATTGTCTCCGTTAGCAGTTATATTTGTATCCAATGATTACTTTCTAAAAGTTTTATTAAAGCCCACTGTTCATGAGATATTTTGCAAACAGACAGAGTTGACTCCAACAATTAATGCCAAGGCAAAGATTGTTTCACAACATGTAGGGCTCAGAATATGTTAACATTTTTGGATAACTTTCAGCTACTACCACAACAAACTCCAGTTCAGTATCTGTAGAACTGACTGAGTCATAGCCTTTAGTGCTGTCAAACTCATTTTCATAGCTTTGACATTTTGTGTTTAACTTCGACTAAAGACGAAACATTCCTCATCTTATATGGCTGAGCACCACGAGCAAACAATAATTGAGCTTCATGTGGTATTGTGTGCATGGAAACAGTATTTTACCACATATTTGTTTGAACACTGACTAAATTTGAAATAAATGATACAAAMGTACTAWTACTTGTAMGGGTTTTAYTCACTGGTGAGTTATGGTGAGTAGCTGTCATCTTACATTCTGAACTCTCCCACTTCCTGACAGGAAGTTCCCACTGGAGGGGTGGTTCAGTTTAAATTTACGACCACTACAACTGGGTCACAGTAAAAGTAGTCAATGAAATGGTAAATGGTAAATGGACTGAACTTATAGAGCGCCTTATCAAGTCCATCCAGATGGACTGGACCCCAAAGCGCTTTACACTTACAGACATTCACGCATTAACACTCACATTCACACACTGATGATGGTAAGCTACAATGTAGCCACAGCAGCCCTGGTGCACACTGACAGAGGTGGGGCTGCCATGAACTGGTGCCACTGGACCCTCTGACCACCATCAAGGCAGGTGAAGTTCTTGCCCAAGGACACAACAACTGAAARGGCTGGAACGGGGGATCAAACTGGCAACCTTCCGGTTACAGGACGACTCCCCTAGCCACTCCACCACAGCCGAAAATGCAGTGAAATGGAGATTTTACAAGTCGGATTTCACCTGCTATAGGCTGCCAGCCACTTTTAAACCCTGTGCACCTCCACCTAGTGGTGGGATACCATCATTTCACTGGTAAAATRATTAACATGCATTWTGGGAGATTCTGTTTATGGTCAATGCAGCRTATGCTTAWATAAAGACATTRATACATTTGTGAARCTCTTGTGGGCCACRTAAAATACTGTGGTGGGCCACATTTGGGCCTTGAGTTTTACATACACTTTAGTGGATTCTATGAGGTCATTTTGCTGCAGTGAATTGAGTAGTCTTCTAAAGGTAATCAGTTATAGATTTCTCTCCAAATATTAGTTTCTGAAAGTTTTTTTATCAGTTCTTTGGTTTTTGAGATATACAACTGTATCTAAAAAAAATAGACTTTGATAAAATCGTTTTTGTGTTTGCCACAGTTTGATTTGTTTTAGCTGTGGGGGCCATCTTGAATTGTGTTGATTTGACAGAGGAGGACAGTTTCATGAGATCTACTGTATCCAGTGATTCATTAGATATCTTACTAAAAAACAGACGCACGGTATTTTTTAAATTCTTATTATTATTGTATGTCTTAAAAACCTGTCCAGTCTTTCTAAAAGCACTTTTGTTTTGCGTTTTTCAGCCTGAAGGACACACARAGAGTCACTTACACCACTGTCAGGTTGAGTAAAACTCTTTAAACTTGTTTCAAAAAGTGAACAATTTTACAGACAGTAACAAATTTACTGATTTTCTTTGCATTAACATTAAATAAAAATCAGAAAGCTCTGCTTTTTATCGTTATAACTCTGCAGAATTGCCCCTTTTTGAATTACATTCAAACTTAACAGCTGGTCTTTCCAATAAAAGTCTAACACAGTTTTCCTCACCTTCCAGGGAGGTCTTGCGAGAGTCAGAGCCCGCTATGGATCAGTAAGTTTATGATCATATTAAATGGCATAATGCAAGAATGCCTTCTCCAGAGTGTTATTTTCTACCTTTGGTTTGTTGACGTTCCCTCTTTATTATAAAGAAAATCTTCTATTAACCAGAGCTTTTTGCTCTTTAWAACTCAATAAATTCTAAGCAAGCAGCTGCTGCATCAAGGTTTAATCCACTGTACCTCAAAGTTATTGAGTGGAATAAGTACTTGGTGTATTGAAATTAATTCAAAATTATTCAGTGTAGTTTATGGGAGTTCGTTGTTCACTTTTAACCAGTARAACTGCTTCTGTTCAGGCGTTTCAGTTCAGATTCAGGCCAAACCCCATGGGAACACAGCGGCTTAACGCTCGACGCAGGGTGCACACAGATACCTGCGACCCAGACTTTTAAGAGATCCCCCCTCGAAACAACTCCATTATCCCAGTGAAATGACAAGATCAGCTCTCCCATTGTCTTTCAATTTGCTCTCATTTCCCTGCCTCTAATTATCAGCCTCCAGATGTCAGATTGATGATGTGCATTAGAGGCGTCCTTCTGTCAGATCACAGCCCACTAAAAGTCTGCCATTAGCAAGTAATAGCAGAAAATGAAGGACCTTTCATGTGACGGGGCCCTAAAAGCCATTACGCTGCCGTCGTCAGGGAGTGAAAGATGAGACCTAATGCTGATTCACTCCGTCTGCAGATATGCGACCAGGGCTGTGGTGGAAGTGGAGCAGCGTGASAAAACACCTGAACCTGAAACTAAAAAGTGAGTGAATTTAACTCRTTCTTTATCTGGTTCTACCAGGAGTTCACAAAGGATATGATCAATTAATATCTTACCTGTTAACATCTTAATAGGATAACCCCAGTTGAGAGAAATATACTTACAAAAAGTAAGATAATTTGTGTTTGGTAGATTATTTCTTTGTTGTAAAAATGCTTCTTGGCAATAAATCTTATATTGTTTAAAAACATGTTAATTTCTCTTTTAAATGGTGCCACATTTGTAAGGAACATGCATTTGTGGGTTGAGCAGTAGAGCTCATTATGTGCATGTGAAGAACAAACCAAATCTTCTCTGCCATTGGCAAACTGCTTTTTTTAAATAAGATTTTATTGCCAAGAAGCATTGTAACTAAAAATAAACAATTTAAAAATCACAAATTTCCTTACTYCTTGTGCTAAGTCTAGTTTAATTTGGACCAATTTGACAGGGTAACCAATAGTCCGAACGAGGCAAAAATCAAAATGGATTGTTTTAAAAACAACTTTAACCCCAAATATTTCATAATGATTTGTTTGGATCATTACATGATTATCACAGTAGATATGTGATGACCTACCAGCTGGCACTATTTGTACTTTTGGGGCACATCTAGCAGACATACTGTATCTTGATTTATCTGCTGGAATAACCATGTAATAGAAAATAGACTGATTTTAAATAGTCTCCACCCAAACTTTTATTAAAATTTTGTGATTGGAGTTGTTTAAAGGCAGCTTCACTTCACTTAGCTCTAGGTCAGACTAGGYGTTGGCTTATCAGTCTGTCAGAATTAAACTCTTTCTCCAAACGGAAGTTTCTCAGTTGTTATCTACAGAATGTAAGATAAAAAAAACAACAAAAAATAACAATTGCCCAAATAGTACACGGACCGATGCATACGTTTTGTTGTTATACATTATTAATGTTATCTATGAAAAAATGCATTCTTTTAAATATAAACATTTTTTCACCACAAGTACTTTAAACTGCACATATTAACTCATTTATTCTCACTCCCTTTTTATGCCTAAGGGGGTTTGTTTATGTGAAAGAGTACGTCAATACGACGGAGTTGTCGTTGCATAATGCCAGAGATACGCTTGATGGGTAAGACAAATAAATTACTTAAATATCCCAATTAAAAACGTGTGATGTAACTTTTACAATGGTACTCTTTTTGCTCCTTTTCTTTACAGGCAAGATGCTTTTACTGCAAGCTCCATCAATTACTCTTACAGCAGCCCCTCCAGTTACAGCAGGTAATACCCCACTTCTTAAACCTGCTGTGATAAGGAACATATGTTTGTCTGCATTTAGAACAGCATGGGGCATAAAAAGTGAGCTATTTTCTTTCTTTAGCTGCTTTTACGTCTGCACCTAAAATTCGTCGAACTGCTGTCACCAACGACATGCTGACTGCTTTCACTGGTTTCTTTAAAGGCRCTTTGTGTTTCCGAATATTTTCACTTTGACTGACGCTCTTTCAGTTCGTTGACATGTTTTAGTTGCTGTTTTTTTCCTCCTGTAAGTTGCTTCAGCTGTGTCGTATTATTTCACTTTAACCTCTTTTGTTATTACTCCCTTGCATCACTCYATTCTTCCACCCGCCCATAAATCTGTTTTAAACCCCCACAGTAARCCACAGTCCCGTCTTCCTCCTGCCTTAATTCAGGCCAGATATGTGCAAGCAGCAGGGCAGAAACACCAGTAAGCCAGTTCATTCAGCTCATTAGGGGGCTAAGCAGGGACATSAAAGGATTATTTACATGTATTACATTCCCTCTTACACACACACAAAATATCACATTTTTCCCAGTCTGTGCTTTGGATACTCTAAACTCAGTCAGGCTAAATTGTTTCAGCCACTGATGTTTTWTTYCTGCAGAGTCCCGCTGTCATCCACCTGTACGTACTGYGGAGAGCAGGTGGGCAATGATGCCAAGATCACCATCGAGCACCTCAATATTAACTGCCACCCCACCTGCTTCAAGGTAATCTGCCTGAGTAATACTCCTCTAAAGAACTCATTTAGTTTGCTTTTTAAAACTACAAGATTAMTTTCTTTAAAGCTGCATCTGTTTTGCTTAATACTCTGTTTAGAATTGATTTAAAGAGGCAAAGGCGTCACATTTATTAAAAAATGGTATCTGCCTTTTTATGCCAGTGTTAAACTAAGAACCATTTTGATTAAAACTTGTAAACGACATTACTTGTTGAGGAATGACTCTCAGCTACTACCACACCAAACTTTACACTATCTGACCTATTTTTAAGGTGGKTTAGCTCTAGCACAATGTGCCTACAGATTGTGTTTGCAAACTCGTGAGTTACTATCACACCACTTGTTATTGCTAAATGCCTATAAACTTTACTGAGCTGTATCTTTTTGTGTTTCCTATTACCAGTTTGCTGTGGTGGCCATCTTGAATTAGTTAATCATAGATGTTCATTATATTTTGCTAACAAACCTACATACAGTAGTTGAATCCATTATTTCTTGGAAAAGCCTTTAAAACAAATGTCTTTGTCAGCGCTCTGTTAGCGCTGTTAGCTCTCAGAGYATAAGTTTGGGATCARTCGCAGCTACTACACCAGATACTGTATTAGCTCAGTGTGTAAAACTGACTGAGTCATTATAACCATCTTCATGTATGCAAAAGCCACTTAGCTTTAGCTGCCATCTTAAATGGGACTGATTTCAAACAGTCAGTTGTACATGCAGTGATTACTTTGAGTTTCATTAAAATCTGTCCAGTGGGTCRTTAGACATTTAGCTAACGCATTAGACAGACAGAGACAAAAACACGATTGCCTTTGGCTGCCAATACTTAAAATGTGTGAAGAATGATGGCATTTCTTTATAACTATATATTTATTATACGACAAAGTCATAGGCAGCACAATGGTTTAGTGGTTAGGACTKTTGCCTCACAGCAAGAAGGTCCTGGGTTCAATCCCTGGTTTAGATCCGGTTTGCGTGTTCTCCTCATGCAAATTATGTTTCCTTCCACAGATTTTACCTGGTTAAATAAAATAAATATATATATTCAATCTAATGAGTTTGCACTTTTTTTTTCAGTGTGATATGTGTCGTAAACCAATGGGGGACCTCCTGGAYAGCATGTTCATTCACCACGGGAAGGTCCACTGTGAGAGTTGCTACTCCATCTAGTAACGATCACAACTCTTCAGCAGCTTCTCCCATCATCACTGACTTTTCTTTATGCTTGTTTGCATATAAACTGAACTAGTTTAACACGCAAGTTTGATTTTTTTTTTCCTTCCCCTTTTTGACTATTAAACAATTTGAAGTGATCAACTGAACTTTTTGATTCATACATTAGGTCACATTTTTAATGTTATTATTATTTTGTGTGTTCGTGTGGTGTTTTTTCTGTTGTCATGAAGGATTTGTCTTTAAAACATATGCTGACTCACTGAAAAGTGGGGTAACTTGGTAGCAAAAAGTTACTTTGTTACAAAATTCATTTATTCTTCTTGTTACAAAATAGTGTGTTTTCATGTAAAATGCTTTGTTACCAAAATAAAACAAACAGTACAAAAGTGCGTAAAATTAGCATTGTTTAAAAAAAAGACAAACAATGGATCATAAAGTTTCAAGAGGTCATGGTCACAATAAAAGGCATGAATCGTTATCAATTGCACGTAAGGTTTTTAGCCTGTTGCAACACATAGAAAAAGTCAGTAATATTCTGATGTAAAGCCATTTTCATGAGCGAGTCTGCCAGTGCAGCTGTGCTTGGCATTTCTTTTTTTAAAATAACATTTGTCCTCACTCGGTTGCTTCAAGTGGCTGTTWACATAAATAGGACTTCAGCCAGTGACCATCAGCCACCTGCAGAGTAACTGTAAGAAAGCAAATGCAGTCCACTGGCTGCAGTCCTGATGGCCTTCACACACAGTTAGGCAGAGCTCCTTGAGTGCGCTAGACGAGTCTTTGGCTCTGCTCCAGTTCAGAGGAAAGCTGCACAAAACCACACGGTTAGCATTTAGTGCTTACAACTCAAAGCAAGCGAGAGACGAGAACGCCTACTCTGTGCTGGAGACGGAGGGAGCTGAAAATATTAGCATCTCTCGTCATAAAACCTTGTTTTCTATTATTAAATGTGTAATCAGGACAAAGGGATCTGGTAAGTAGAAAATATTATAAAACTATTCACAAAGGAAGTTCTGGCTCAGGTGCAAATATTAAAATAAAAATATATGAGCAGCAATGTTCCACTCAATCCCTCATTTAAACAGAAAGGGTGTGTATTATGGGATGCCTCTGTAATCCTGGACATGCTCCATCCCTTTTTGTATCAAAGCCTGTGTCAGTGTTTTCCTCTGGCTCTGCTCACAGCGATGTTTTGGATGTGCTTCCACAGCAGAAAGGGGTCTGACTCGTTATGTCTTATCAGAGACTCCAGACCCTCAGCTTGGTCCAGGCTCTGCCAGTAATCCTGAGGCCATATTTGCAGCCATCTGTGGACAGATATGCAAACAGATTAGGCAAATGATGTTTTAATTAAACAGTAAAACAAGGGCCACTATTTATTTCCTTTGAGACATGCTTAGTCACGTGAGAGGCGAGAAAGCAGACTGTTCTCACACCCGGAGAAGCGAGCGCACTCACCCGTCATCCGTTGGCAAGTCTTGGACGTTTCCGTACCCCGGGCTGGGCAGTTGGCAGCCCATGTGAGAGTTGCTGGCCATTTTAGGCCGAGGGGGTTGGTTCTTTTTGGGGGATTTTCTGTACGCCCTTTCTGAGGCCAATCGTGCGTTCTCCTGGTCGCAAACGTAACATTCAAATCCGTTTAAGTAGTTGGGTTTACTCATGTCATTAACGCCCCACTCGCGGGACTCCAGCGCCTCGAGCAAACGAGCGTTCGTGATGCTCCTGTGGTTTTTGAACTTTAAATATTTCACGTACTCGTCGTCGTTCTCATCCAGACGCCTGAGAAAGTCAGCGAGGGACTTGGGCGAGGGGAAATCGTCTATGATTATCACCGAGTGGCCGTTGGGCATCCAATCGCTCACCACGGAGGAGCCCCGATAAACGGGCACGCAGCCCTGGTGGAGGGGCCGCCAAAGCTTCTCCGTCACGTAGTCTGGACACAGGCCGTTCTCCAGAGCCAGGTGGAACTTGTAGCGCGCGACGAAATTCATGAAGCCGGGTTCCTCGCCAGTAGCAGTGGCCGTGTCCTCCAGGTGTTCTGGTAGCTGTTTGTTGTTCAGGCACTTTCCATAGGAGTCCACCTATACGGAGAAAAAAAACACAATGGATGAGGGAGGAGAAAGTCCAAGACACAGTTACGACACATTTAGATCCAATTATTTATAAATGATTTTTGCTAATAACACCACTTAAAGATATTTTTATTTAGCTTTAAACAGCTTTAAAAAGTCTTCAGTTGATCCAAAATGCTGCTGCTAGAGTTTTAATGAGAGTTGGAAGGAGAGATATTTCTCCAGTTTTAGCTTCTCTCCACTGGYTCCCTGTCAAATTCAGAATAGATTTTAAAATATTACTTCTAACACATAAAGCTCTTAACAACCAAGCTCCATCATATATTAAAGCTCGTGTTGTCCTATATTTTCCTAACAGAGCACTTCGCTCTCAGACTGCAGGTTTACTTGTGGTTCCTCGAGTTTCTAAAAGTAGAATGGGAGGCAGAGCTTTCAGTTATCAAGCTCCTCTSTTGTGGAACCAACTTCCAGTTTCTGTCTGTGAGGCTGACACTCTGTCTACTTTTAAGATTAGACTGAAGACTTTCCTTTTTGGTAAATCCAATAGTTAAGGTTGGTTTACAGAGTTATTCCTTCATTACGTTGCTGTAGGTTTAGATTGCTGGAGGACAAACTGACCACATTTCCTCGCTCTGCTGCTGTGGCCAATGTACTGCTGAAAGTGGGAGACAGTGACGGAGTGAAGATTGAACCCAATCAGCTGGGTTCGTTCGTTCGTTCGTTCGTTCGTTCGTTCGCTCGCTCGCTCGTTCGTTCGTTCGTTCTTGTGCAGTTCCCTGAGACAACATTAGTTGTGACTTGCCCCTATGTAAATAAACTGAATTGCATTATTTTCCCACCTAAGTGCAGTAAACAAGTTTCAATTATCACTTTAATTTGTGTTAGCTCACTGACAAATGCACACTTAAAAATGCTCTTTCAAAAATGCACAAGGCAAAATGTCATCTTGCTTTACTGATAACAAATCAAACATCAGCTGCATTCAGAGCAAATGTGCCTTTATCTGTCAGTGTTCACATCAGCTGAGGCAATTTTTCATTTTAAAGCCTGCGTAGACTGATAAAGGTTTTGTGGATACTGTTATGCAACCGTATTGTCTTCCCAGATGGATTTTCATAAACTGCCCAGTCAGAGCTGTTTATACAGCACAACATTTATAACAGTACAACAGCTGCATGAATAAAATTCTGACCTAAGGTTAATGTGTAAATAGAAGTGGGAAAGACTGAATTACTATAAAGTGTTCAGCTTGAAAGAGCCTGTTCTTAGTAGTTTTGAACAATAATAAGAAGAAGGCAAAAACCTAAGAGGAACAGAGCAACAACATCTGTAAATTGTCTAAATGTCACTTTTCTCCACATGTCTGAACTATTAATCACTGTGAACTGCAGTAATATTAAGGTACTTCTGTTCAAATATGAATTTTTCTTCAAACTAGTGTTGTACTTTCCCATAATTACATTTACTTTAAAGGAAAACCTCATTCTACATTACAGCAGAATCAGGACGGCCTCTAAAGCACTCTACCTGTATATATTTCATGAGTTCCTGGACGTATCGGTCTCTGTCTGACGGCACATCGCAGTGAGACTGCATGTAGAGCACAGGAGCCAAACCCTCCCTCCTCAGGCGGTTCTTTTCCTCCAAGGCCACAGCCACGGGCTCCAGTAGGTACTCCAGGGAGGGCAGCCACTGCAGGGTAAGTGGGTAGTCCGACTCCCTGCGAAACGTGGCTGTATAGTTGAAGAGCCTGATTGCCGGTCCGTGCGAGAGGATGTAGTTATTCATGGGTGACTCTTCGTGGAAAAGTGCCCAGGTCTGGTGATGGAGACGAGGGAGCGGCGCCTCATAAGCCCTGAAGTCTGTCCCGTAAAAGATGATGGATGCGGTCCTCTTGTACAGCTGCACCTTTTCAAGATCAAAGTCAAGATTAGTAGAATAAATTGAGTTAATTATAATGGATGTGTGCATAAACAGGCGTTATAAGGACAGCTTTATGACGGTTAGGCATAGTAAGTACCTTGCGGTTGCTTGTGACGAGGCAGGAGGAGGTGGCGCAGTCGATGCGTTCAGTGTCCCCAGGAAAGTGTGGGAAAAGTCCGCCGCTCCACCAGAGGAGAATGGGCAGCTCCTTGTTGCTGCGGCGGTCGCTGTTACCGGGTCCTCGGTACGAAGCTACGGAGGCGAACTCCATGTCTGACAGAGCGCTCTGGGGCTGGAAGGCTCCTCGGTTCACGGCATCAAAGGAGGAGGCGTTCGGGTGAAGCTGTTCGTCCGGGAAGGAGGCGAAAGAGACCCAGACCCAGCACAGGACAGCAAACAGCCCCAGACATACACAGGGCAGCAGCCTCCTCCTACCTGCCATCTGTTAAAACACAAAAATGAAAAAAATAAATGCTTTTTGGTGTTTATTTTTTTAACGTTTCGAACCGAACAACTAAACATTAGCTCCACTAACTTCAAGCAAACGTTTCTGTATGGAAACACCGACACAGTTTCTAAAATATTATCTTCATGACAAGAAAACGAAACTAAAATGTAAACACTTTTCTGCAAGTCCCAGTAAAACTTACCTTTGGTGTGCGCTTATAACGGGATCCTGCCTTACATCAGTAACAACAGGCTCTTCTTCTACGTTTTAATTGCTGCTTTTCTAGAGCCACGTAAATCTAGCGCCACCTAMAGGTAAAATAAAACCTCTACATCTCAAAGCAGCAGTTTTTATTAWAAGAATAAAATGATGCGAGAATAAAGACAAAAATAATACGAGGTACAAATAATAATGACAGTCGTAATAATAGGAGAATAAAGACGCAACAATACAGGAATAAAGTCATAAATATGGGGTTCCAGATGTGCCAAAATTATGTTGTTGTTGTTGTTGTTGTTGTTGTTGTTGTTGTTGTTGTTGTTGTTGTCCATGTTGTTAAATTCTGTCTATACAACTATGCAAACGTGCCAAAACCATGCATATAAGTTGTTCACTATGTCCTCATGTCATGTTGTTAGACAATGTTGTTGTATATGTTGTCTCTAGTAGTTTTTCTTTGATGTTACAACCTGTCATGGACTGAGGCTCAACAACATATTTTTGACACATCTGGAACTCCTTAATTATTATGATAAACAGAGTTGTAAAGTAACTAAGTACAAATACTTTGTTACTGTACTTAAGTAGAAATTTTGGTTCTATTTCGTGTAAGCTCCGCCCTCTAAGGCTATCGCAGATGGGTACCCCCGCGCGCGCTCGCGCATTCTGAAG